TACCTTCTCTGAGGTTAATGGATTTCCTTCCACAAAATCAGGGTTCTGTCAGTAGGGGAAAGGTGGGGTATTAGGTAGGCTAAAACAAGCAAGCCCATAAACATGAAGTACTTGCTTTATAAAGAAACTGAATTTAGGTGTTACTGCCTTTAGATCATATCTCTTACAGGTCTCTGTTTCCTGGTCTTCATGGTTTGGGGTTAATGAAATGAGCTTGCATTTCCTCCAAGAGGCTTTTTCTTGTTGCTGTTCAGATCTGCATGAGATCTGAAAATGCCTTATCTGTGTATTTTTCTTTTGAATCCTAGTCCTTATCTCCTAGTTAGGTATGGTGGAAGAAAAACAGACCCCAAAAAAGTGACTTAATAAAGAAAGTGACTTAATAAAGAAAGTGGCTTATTTCTCTTGGTATAAGTGCAGAGGTAGATAGTTCAGAGGTGGGATAGTGACTCTGCCTAAAAAATCCTCAGGGATACAGATTCCTTCTATCTTGTTGCTTTCCCACAAGTCTCTGAAGGTTGAATTATAACCCAAGGTGGCTACACTCAGAATAGCCAACACATCTGCGTTCCAGTCAACAGGAAGGAGGCCGGGAAGAAGAAACAACTCAAATCCTGCATTATACTTACTCTTACTGCCAATTAACCAGCACTTAGTCACAGGGCCATATCTAGCTGCAAGGGATCCTGAAAAATATTGTCTTTATTGTGAGTGGCCATTCGTCCAGCTAAGAGACGATATTCTGTTATGTAAAATGTGAGGGATTCTATTTCTGTGAAGAAACAAGAGACTGGATACTGAGGGACAGTTAGCTGTCTCTGTCTTTCCTCTGCTACTGTACTTTGTCCACCTGAGCTAAGTCAGAAATCCTTTTGAAACTAAATCCAATGCACAAAATCTCAGTGGGGATATGAACAGATTTCATGGAGATGATAGCATCAGAGGGGAAAATGGTCATTAATAAAAAGCATACCTGAAACCAAGCTGTATGTACTCCAATTATGCAGACCTCAGGGAAATACAGGTGCTTGTGGCATGAATAAAGACTCATAAATATGAGATTTAGAACTGAGAGACTATAAAGATTTTCAGGAGCTATTGGATGAATACAAGATGCTAACTCTGTCACTTTGATTCTGTGAATCATTGATTTTGTGTATATTAACATGAACATTTAAATCAAAATTATACTTACATCAATAATTTTCATCAAAAAAAGTAACTACTACAAAACCATTTTTTAAATGGATCATGGCAACATTACAAATAAAAGTTCCTGAACACTCTTAGACTCAATCAAAACACTTTTCTTTTGTGAGACGTTTATGAGAAATTTCTTGAGAGACTTTTGAGATTTAGCTTTAAGAAGTAATACGCAAAGTAAAGTGAGCCAAAGCAGGGCTAGGGGTAGACTTTCCCTTTAGTTTGCTGGCCTGGGTATTTCACATTTACAAGTTGATGGATTCTTTTCATCTAAAGATAAAAAGCTGTATTTAAAAATATCTGAAGACTGAAGCTACAAAAGCAGAGCTAGAGACAGAGAGTAAAAACAGGCAGTGAGTTTTGATTCTTTAAATTTTCATTTTAACCTATTTTTCTATGAAGAGTGAAAGTTTGCTGACATTAACCAACTCTTGTTTGAAAATGAAACATTTATGACATGGCCGTGTTTATGTATCAGGAGAATAAAATGACTTAAAGTTTACCTTTTTCTATGTATTTTGAGATGTAAGAAACTGACATTAAAATATCAGGATTTTAAAAAATCTTTCAAATTAAAACCAAAGCTTTTCCTCTTAGGAAAGATGGCACTTATATAATTATAATTATGCAAAGTACCTTCACAGAACACACACTGTATTTAACATAAACCAGAGTCAAGTCTTAGAAACTGAGGTTTTAAAAAATTACATTTTTTCATAATAATTTACTTTGTAAAATCTAACTTCTCCCACATAACCATGAGAAATAGGTAGGAAGAAGGAAAGGCGATGGAAGAGGATCTTCTTTATTCTTAAGAGTACAAACATAACAATATGAAGTGTCAGCAGAAGCATGGTCATGATTGGTACTGTATGAACGACTCAGAAAAGCAAGAGAGCTCATACCAAGTGGTTTGTTGTCGTGGCTCTAGTTACTTGTTTTAACTGCCATATACCGCGTTTTAAGTGCACACTTCTCTAGTTTTCTGAGTTCTTCTTACCCTGACTCATCAAAATGAGAAAAACCCCTGCATCTAAACCAACTTTTTATAACTTGTTAATATTAGAAATGACCATACTCTTGACTCCAATCCAACTTTTAAAATTCTATTTGAAATCTTTAACATAAAACAGAGTCTTTTCTGGAGCAAAATTATGCCAATTTAATGCCATGATCAATTTTATTTTATAGGGAAACTGTCTTGTTTTTCCATTTCTACTGAAATCATTTTCACTGGACTCAGTTCCAGTTCTTTCACATGTAAACTTTACTCTGAAGTTATAATTCAATATTATTTTTTCTCTTCATGAAAAATAATAGCCATTAGATCTTCTGACATCATGAACTTTCTTTAGTGGCTAATTAACCAAGGCCAATTTAATTTTTCTGCAAAAAATTTGTAGATCTAAATTTTGACAAGAATATTTGATTTTTACATCAACTTATAATAAATGACAAATTTTACCATATATGTTTTCTCCAGTTAACAATCAGTAGTTCTTTTTCAGTCAGTGTTTATAATCAATCTGTGTCCAGCTTTAGTCCATGTTAATTTCATTTTGTATTGATTTTATTTAATTGATGTTAATCAATTCCAGTTTTCCCTGTCAACCTGATCACAATATCCTTGCTATTAAAATAGCCAGGCTAAAAAAAACACACACACACACACAAAATTATAGGCTACTGCTCTGACAGGTTTGGTGGTTTTCTGAAACGGAATTTTACAATGGAACAGATCCTAGGAATCTTCACATAGTTCAGTCCTTTCATTTAACAAATGAAAAAACTGAGGGGTAGAGAGATCAAGTGACTTGCCCAGAGACAAATAAGGAAGGCTTGAGGAAAAGTAGAGATGAGTTAGGATGGAGGTGATGGGCAGATGTGATAAATATCGAGGAGATCAAGATGAGGACATGTTTGATTGGACAGTGGGGTGGAAGAGAGAAGTCTAGGATGACCCTGGATTTCAGGCTTGGGTGACTGGGTGCATATTGGTGTTGACTGAGACAAAGAATAGTTGAGTAGGTTAGGTTTGGGGATGGGGGTAGATAATGAGTTCAGTTTTAAATGTCAAGTTTGGGATGCCGACTGGACATCTCAGTGGAACCTGAGTACTTCAGCAACAAATTTTCGAAAGGTCTGGGTGGTGAGATAGACTTGGGAATTATCAGCTTACAGATGACAGACACATGTGAGTTGACAAAAATCACCATCCTGGGAAAACATTCATCAAGGGAGCAAAGCTGTAGCTTGTGGGCCTCATCTGGACCTATAGATGCATTTTGTTTGGTCCAAAATAAAAGTTCAAACAAAATTCAACTTAGTGACCAACATTTGAAATTTCAGTGATTTCATGTATCTATGTATTGATTTCTCTTTTAAAATGGGGGGATCTGACATCACTAGAGAAAATTCCAGGTTGGCAAAAAACTCAGGTACCAATGCTGAGTAGGGACCATGAGTTCCAGTTCTCCTTTGTGTTCACTGCCTTGGCACTGTAGCTTTCTGGGTTTGCAGATTCTGATAGAGCATAACAAGATCAAGGGGTAAAGAGTTCAGGAAAAGGAAAAGAAAGAGGATCCCCTTGACTGGGATCCTCTGAGGGGAGGTGGTCGAAAAGTAAGAGGAGAACGAAGAGGGCTTGGTAACAAAGAAGCAAAGGGATCAGGGTTCAAAGGAGGAGGAGCAAGCAAATCTTGTGAAGAATTAGAAATTGTCTTAGCTTTATTATCCAGCTATTGGCTTAAGCCTGAAGTTTCGGAGTCATTATTGACACCTTTCTTTTCCTTATGGCCTTATCTAATCTATCTCCAAGTCTGTCATATCTATGTCCAAATTATTTCTCAAGTTTGTTCATTTCTCTTCATTATTTCTTACTTGACTGTTGCAAAGGCAATTGTTCTCTCTGCATCCTTTCTTGCCT